AAACCAAAATTATTTAACATATTAAGAACCACAGAAATCTCATCTTGTATGGGAGAAGATAATCAACAGATACAAAAGGCAAGATGACACTTATACTGGAAATATCTGACAAGACTTTAAAAGCTGCCATTATGAAAATGTTCAAGCTATCAGTCACAAAAATGTTGCAACAAATATTTAAAAAGAAAGTATCAGATAAGAAATAGAAGATAAAAAAGAAGCAAATGTAAATTTTACAACTGAAAAAATATAATAACCAAAATTTTTAAACTCTAGATTAAAAGTGAGAATGTAATGGAAATGTCAGAGGAAAGAGTCAGTAACTTGAAGATAGATCAACAGAATTATCCAAGCTGGATAACAGATAGAAAAAACTGGAAAAAAAGGGACAGAGTTTCAGAAAGGATAGATATAAAAATCAGTGCAGTAGAACTGTGAGTCCATAAGTCAACCTGTACATTTCTCGTCAGTTGATCTTCAACAACTGTGCCATGATAATTCAACAGGGAAAGAAGAGGCAATTCAACAAATGGTGCTGGGACAGCTAGATAACCACATGCAAAAAGAATAAAGCTGGACCACTATCCTCACCCAATATACAAAAATTAAAATGGATCAAAGATCTAAATAGAAGAGCTAAAACAATTAAACTTTAGAAGAAAACGTAGGGGTACATCTTCATGACCTTCAATTTGGCACTAGTTTCTTAAATATGACATCAAATGCACAAGGGAGAAAGGAAGAAAAAACCAGATAAATTGGATTTGATAAAAATTAAAAACTTTAGTGCATCACAGCACATTATCAAGAAGGTGAAAAAAACAACCTACAGAATCAGAAAAATAGTGACAAATTACAAAAAGCAGTCTCCCCTTATCTTTGGGGAATATGTTCCAAGAACCCCAGTGGAGGCCTGAAACCACAGATAGTACCAACCCCTATTACCCCATGTTTTCTTATACATACACACCTGTGATAAAGTTTAGTATAATTAGGCACAGTATGAGATTAACAACACCAATAATAAAATAGAACAATTATAACAATATATGGTTCACAATTTCAAAGATAGAAGATTTGTTCTTACTATAGGTCTTAGCAGCATTAGCATATGATGTTTTTGCTTTTTTTTTTTAAGTTAAGTTGTATACTTTCATCATTTCACTTAAAGGAAGCACTTTAGGGCTTCTCTTTGGCATAGCAGAACTGCTAACATTGCTACTCATATGTTCTGGGGCCATTATTAAGTAAAATAAGGGTTATTTGAACGTAAGAACTACAATACCATGACAGTCAATCTGAAACCAAGATGGTTACCAAGTGACTAATGGCAGGTAGCATATACAAGGTGGATCAGATGGATAAAGGGCTGATTCATATCCTGGGCAGGTTAGAGCAGGATGGCGTAAGATTTCATCATGCTACTCAGAAAGGTCTGTAACTTAAAGCTTATGAATTGTTTATTTCTAGAATTTTTCATCTAATATTTTTGGACTGTGGTTGACCACAGCTAACTGAAACCATAGAAAGTAAAACAAAGGATAAGGGAGGACTACACATATGATAATGGTATAGCATCCAGAATAGGTAAATAATTCTTACAACTCAAAAATAAAAGGGCATACACTTCAATTTAAAAATAAGCATTCAACACAGGACTGGAATTCCTAGCCAAAACGATTAGGCAAGAACAAGAAATAAAAGGCATCCACATTGGAAAGGAAGATGTAAGTTTATCTCTCTGTTCACACATGAAATATATGTGAAAAACTCACAAAACTGTTAGAACTAATAAGCAAAAAGAAAGTCGCAGGATACAAAAATCAACAAACCAAAATCTATTTTATTTGCATATACTAACAGCAAATAATCCGAAAAGGAAATTTAGAAAGTCTCATTTACAATAATGTCAAAAAGAATAAAATAATTAGGCATAAACTTAACCAAGGAGGTGAAAGACTTATATATTCAAAACTACAAAGTGATTTATAGATTTAATGCAATCACTGTAAACATCCCAATGGTTTGCTTTTTTTTTTTTAAGGAGTCTCACTCTGTCACCCAGGCTGGCCATTTTAAAAATAGAAGAATCTATCCTAAAGTTGACATGGACTCTCAGGGGACCTTGAATAGCCAAAAAAATTTCAAAAAAGAACAAATTTGGACAATTCACGCTGCCTGATTTCAAAAGTAACTACAAAGCTACAGTAATCAAAACAGTGTGCTATCAGTGAAACAGAATGGTGAGCCCAGATTTAAACCCTTGCATATATGGTCAAGCAAACTTCAACAAGGATGCCAACACCACTAAATTGGAAAAAGACAGTCTCTTTAATAAACAATATTGGAAAAATGGAATATTCACATGCAAAAGAAAAAAGCTGGACCCTTATCTTACACCATATATAAAACTTAAATGAATTAAAGACCAAAACATAAGACCCCAAACTACAAAACTAGCAGAAAACATAGGGAAAAAGCTTCATGACACTGGATTTGACAATAATTTCTTGAATATGACACCAAAAGCACAGCTAACAAAAGCAAAAATAGACAAATGGATTACATCAAACTTTAAAACTTCTGTACATAAAAAGAAACAATGAAATGAGTGAAAAGGCAACCTATGGAATGGGAGAAAATATTTGCAAATCGTATATTTAATAAGTGGTTAATATCTAGAATATATAGAAAACTCCAACACTCAACAACAAAAAAAACCTGACTTTAAAATGGGCAAAGGACTTAAAGTGATATTTCTCTTGGCCAATAAGCATATGAAAGAGTGCTCAATATCACTAATTGTCAGAGAAATGCAAATCAAAACCACAATGAGATATCACCTCACACCCATTATGACAGCAACTATCTAACAAAATCAGAAAATAACAAGTGTTGGGAATATGGAGGAGTTGGAACCCTTGCACATTATTGTTGAGATTGTAAAGTGGTGCAATAAGCATGTGGTTTCTTTAAAAACTAAAAAATAGATCTACTATATGATCCACCAGTCTCACTTCTTGGGTGTATATCCAAAAGAATTAAAAGCAAGACCTCAAATAGCTATTTACATACCTATGTTCACAGCATTATTCATAATAGTCTAGAGGTAAAAGCAACCCACATGTCCATTAATGGATGAATGGACCAACAAAATGCAATGTAACATATAATGGAATACTATCCAAACTTAAAAATAAAGGAAAACCTGTTACAACCTGCAGCATGAAGGAACCCTGAGAATATTATGCTAAGTGAAATAAGTTATTCACAAAAGAACAAATGCAGCATTTTTCTATTTATATAAGGTGTCTAATGATCATAGATATACGAAGTAGAATGGTGGTCACTAGGGGCTGGGAGAAGGGAGAAAGGGGAAGTTGTTTAATGGGTATAGAGTTTCAGTTCTGCAAGATGAGAATGTTTTGAAGATCTGTTTCATAACAATATTAATATACTTACATTACTGAACTGTATACTTAAAATGGTTAAGATAGTAAATTTTATTTTTTAAGCACAATTAAATTAAAAAGAAAAAAAAAACCCAAATGGACATTGTAAAAGTGGAAAATACCTAAAATTAAGAAATCATCGTAGGGACTAGCAGCAGACTCAGGTATAGCAGAAGGGATCAGTGAGCACAAATGTTGATAAAATATACCCTAAGTGAAGCAAAGAGTTAAAAAAAAAAAAAAAGAGAATGAAATAGCAGAATGGTGTGTGACAGAACTGTGAGGCAGTATGAACCATTTTAATTTACATGTAATTGGAGCACCAGAAGTAGACAAAGAATGCCTAAAGAGATAGTGGCTAAGAATTCTCTAAAAACTGATTCATACCCATATATTCATGAATCTCAGCCAATCAAAAGCAATATGAATACAAGCAAACTAAAATAGGTACATTATGGCAGCTAAAGGAATAAAAGATATATTACAAATAGTGGAGCAATAAAACGATAAGAATGATGACTGACTTCTCGTCAGAACCCTGGGAGGCTGGAAGATGATGGGGTGACATCTTTAATGTGCATGAAGAAAAAAGCTATCAATCCCAGAATTTTATATTAAGACAAATCAGACATTTTTATGGAAAAAGGCAGGCAGAATCTGGAGAATTCACTACAAGAAATATTAAAAGTTCTTCAGACTGAAAATATATGATTTCAGATGGAAGCATACCCTGACTACTTGGGTGTGGGGAGGGGAGGGCTTGTAATGTCCCATCATTTGTGTGCCATCTGGGTTGTGGTATGGGGACTAGGCATGTTCTGCTGGGATGGGGAAGCTAGATCTTAAGCTGCCTTACCACCATGTGCCAGTGTGGCCTCACAGTGCCAGGGGCCTTCAACCTGAATTCTCCACTGAACCCGCTGGTAGGTAGAGTTTAGGTGTATTTGGGGTGATAAGTGGGTAGAGGTAGACTGGTTGGCCTTAGTAACAAACATTTCTGTTTCTCCCACTCTAGCATGAACATGTGAATATTTGTGAATTTCTTACCTATTTCCCCCCAGGGGAGAAAATGGGAAGTGAGGGCCACTGGTAAACACTGAGTTAGAACAAGTGAGTAATCCCACCTACATAATGAATGTGATGGAGCCATTGAAGAGTCTGTAGTTCCTCTTCTCCAGACTTTTGTGATTAATTTGTTCAACCTCACTGGCAACTTCTTGACTGAAAACAGTATTAATTAGCTATTTCCCCTGACTGGGGAGCAGACCTAAGGACCTTGAGCTCTCAAGGCTTCTCTTAAATTTACAGAAGTGGCCTTACATTCTCTATGGGACTAGGGAATACTGGCTCTGCAAACGGGCTTTTAGTTTGTTCTCCAGACAAACCCGGTTTGAACTCTATGCACCTTGAAGTTGCATCACTAAATGAATTACACAATGCTTAATCTTTGAAGTACGCCATATTCCAAACTTTCAATTAAAACTGTAGAGAACTTCTGATTATGACAACTCAGGGTTTAAAAACTGACCTGAACTGATTGCCTCACAGGTATGAGAGAATCGAAATCCCAATCCATATTGTACCTCATGTCACTATCGGGAAAGTGTGCCTTGAATCAGCAGTAGAGCTGCCCAAGATCCTGTGCCAGGAGGAGCAGGATGCGTATAGGAGGATCCACAGGTAGAGACCCTCTTCACTCCTCTTCTCTACTTCTCAGGACCTAGTCTCTCTTTTCTTCTTCTGTCCTTTTGTCTTTAGCAGCTCAACTCTTGAAGCCCCTTTCCTTTTGCCTCTCTGGGAAAGCTTTCTAGCAGTCTCCAATCATAATGTTTCTCATATTGTATGATAATTTCTTCAACATTTGTTTTTCTTCTGCTTACTTTGGATGTTTCAAGGGCAAGGATACTTTCTTTTTTGGTTAAGAAAAGAAGATAATCCACAACATCTTAATCCTGTTGCCAAGCACTAGGTTTTGCCCAATAAATTTGTACTAAGTCAGAGCTTTGGTGAGAGACAGCAATTTCAAAATTATCACTTTGAATTATCTTTGAATAAAATCACATCCCCCAAATCGTCAGGAAGTTAATATTGGGGATTTAAATACTACATATTCATCTAATACAGTTGGCAACGGTGTGATGCAGTTTATGGTTGGTATAGTCCATGACCATTTTGCTTTCCCTTCAGTGCTGCTTTGCCACTAACCTACTCTATTTTCTTTTAGCCTTACACATCTGGACTCAGTAACCAAGATCCATAATGGCTCGGGTAAGAATTTTTTCTTGAGTACTCAGCATTTTTTCTGAGTATTTCCCTGAAATACTCAGCTGACAGAAGCAAATTTAGTTTAAGTGAGTGAAGTGATGGGTACAAGTTGTCCTCAGATTTCCTTTCCCAAGGGTTTTCCTGATCCTGATCCCAACATTTCTTTTGAACTCTGGGGATCCATGAATACTATAAATACAGCTTAGAGTAAGACAGGAGGAAAGACAGGAAAGAGCTTTACGATAGACCTACTCAGTGATATACTGGCACACGTTTAACAACCAGTTCTCAAGGAGCAGGAGGTTTGTTCCTGATTTGTTGTGTTTGGCGGTTTCTGTGGTGTAATGCCCCTGGCATGGCTGGTTTCAAGCAACTAACATGGCATCAACTAGCTTACAAACTTCTTGGAATTTTAATAGTTGGCTTTTGTGAGCTGGCATGAATTGGTTCCAGCATAACACTACCAGGGCCTGTCATGGTGGGAATTGAAAGAGATGGATGGATAGACAGATAGACAGATAAAAGGGAAGGCATGAGGGAGAAAATCTTTTGATGTCAATAAATATAAAAGTAATTTTTATACAAGGCAAAGGAACAAAAAGCTGAATACAATATTTATACTAATTCACTTGTCCCTAACATACACATTTCCCCAGCCTCACTTTCTGTCTGAGTAACCCTGACTTCTGGGTCATTCTGTGCACTCTTCCCCAGTTACTTACAAAGTCACCAGTGAGGAAGAAAGGGAGGCTTTTGAGTGTTATAGGCAGTTACTTTTCAAAGAAAAGGAGAAATGGCTTGGTCTATCTGTCCCATAATTTTGGTCTCAGGATAAAACATGACAAAGTTAAAAGTTGGTAATGTATGATATATAACCATATTCTAAAGCCACAGTAATTTAAAAAGTATAAATAATAGCTCAAAATAAACAAATAGATCAGTGGAACTGAACAGAGTCCAGAGATAGGCCTATGTATATATAAGAATTTATATTTAACAAAGATATTACTTTAAATAAATGAAAAAAGCATGAATTATTTATTAAATAGGATTGGGACAGTTCACTTCTTTGTTCATTCAGGAAACATTTGAGTGCTATTCTAGGCACTGAGGTACAGTGCTGAACAAAAGAGACAGTCTTAACCTTCATGGAGTTAACATTCTTTTATTTCCATTTGGGGGAAAATGGATTCCTACCTAATACCCTACACAAAAGATAAATTCCAGATATATTTAAACTTTTACTATTGTGGTACAACCACTTTAGAAAAGAGGTTGGCAATTATATTTGCCATATGTCATACTAGTTCCTTTCCTAGGTATATACCTCAAACAATTGAAAACAGCTGCTCAAAGAAAAACCTGTACACAAATGTTTACAGCAGCATTATTCACAATAGCCAAAAGGTAGAAACAACACAAATGTGCATCAGTGGGTGAATGGATAAACTGTGATATATCCGTGTAATGGAGTACAACTCAACAATAAAAAGAACAAACTACTGAAACATGAACAAACAGGATGAGTCTCAAGAACATTGTGCCAGGTGAAGGAAGCATTACACGAAAGGCTACATACTCTATGGTTCCAAATTCAAGAATAAGCAAAACTAATCCATGATGTGGTAGCTGCCTGGGCCCAGGGATGAAGGGGCATTGGATGCAAAGGGAACTGCAGAGGGGATTGTTTGAGGGTGGTGGAAATGGTATATATCTTGACTAGCACTAGTTACATGGGATGTCTTAGTTCATTTTGTGTTGTTATGAAGGAATACCTGAGGCTGGGTAATTTATAAAGAAAAGAGGTTTATTTGGCTTTACAGTTTTGCAGACTGAACAAGAAGCATGGTGCTGGCACCTGCATTTGGTGAGGGCTTCAGGCTGCTTCTACTCGTTACAGGAGGCAAAGGGGAGCCTATGTATTTAGATACCATGTGGCAACAGAGGAAACAAGAGAATGGGAGAAGGGCCAGGCTCTTTTTAACAGCCAGTTCTTGTGGGAACCAACAGAGAAAGAACTCACCCCTGAGGGAGGGCATTAATCTATTAATGAAGGACCCACCCCCATGACCCAAACACCTCACATGAGGCCCCGCCTCCAACATTGGGGGTCAAATTTTAACATGAGGTTTGGGGGGCCAAATATCCAAATTATAGCATGGGGTATACATTTGTCAAAACTCATAGAACTGTATACTTTAAATTGGTTCATTTTACTGTCTGTGAATTATACCCACAAAAGCTCATTTTATAAGTTAAAGAAATATAGGAGGAAAATATAAGAATTTTTTTCAGACTCTAGGAAGATGATGGCCTAAGTATAATGTGAAAACCTGAACTCACAAAAGGAAAGACTGACTAAATAAAAATTAAAGACTTTTATGGGCCCCTACAAAAATAAAAATGTTAATTATTATCTTTAAAAAAAGTACGGATTAAGATAAGATGATCAGTTTTTCACCTTTTCAAAGATTAAATTGAGAGACTATTAGGTGAGGATGTGAGGGAAGTGAACAGTCTCACTGTTCCTGGAGATATAATTTGGTACAATCTGGAAAATACTGGATAATTAGTTTTAAAGTGTACGTGTACTTAGATCTAGCAATTTCACTTAACTGCAGTCTTTAAAATAGCAAAAAACTGGACAGTGGCCATTTCAGTGACAGTCACATATTATGAGAGAAAAAGATACTTACATTAGATGGAATTTGTTTTAAAAGAGTACCTTAGAATCTTTGTCTTACCATGAAGCTGAACATTCACAGTAAAGCATAAAAGATGGTAACTCCCTTACTCTTCGTTCCTCTGTTCTTCATTTTAAAAGAGGAGCTCTCAGGCGTATTCAATTAATGTACATTTCTGCAATATACATAACAGTGTATATGCCTACAGGGCGCTCTGGAAACGTAAGTTGCAGAAGGCAGACTTCTGGCCCATTAGGAGGTTTTGATGGTTTATAGCAAGGGAAGGTCTGAAAGGCTGGGGAAAGGAACCCTTTCGTGGCTCTTAGCCCTTTTGCCTAAGGGAGTAAAGAGCTGGCCATCTTTCTGCCAGGCTTCCGTCTGGCTTATGGATTCAAGATAGCCTCAGAATGGGTATTTTCTATGCTCAGCTCTTCTGTTTTTCCCCTGGCTGGGCCCAGAAAAATTGTTTACCAGTCCTACTTATTACACTTTCTACTTCCTTCTCCAACCCCTTCTTTCTGTGCTCATGGTTGGGGGTCTGTTGGTGATGGAGTGGGGACATGCTAGTGGATGGTGCTTTTCCACAATTATTCTCATCTTTATTTTTCCTATTGAAGTGTTTACCAAGAATCTGTGCAGTCAGATGTCAGCAGTCAGCGGGCCTCTCCTACAGTGGCTGGAGGACAGACTGGAGCAAAACCAACAGCATTTGCAGGAATTGCAACAAGAAAAGGAAGCGCTTATGCAAGAACTTTCTTCTCTAGAATAAATCAGGAGACAAAATGGGGTAAAAAACTTCTTTTTCAATTTGTGTACTAAACACAGTCTGAAAATGCACACAGCTCACATCCAGGCAGACAATAGAGTAGTTCTTTTTATATCCCAGTAGATAAGTTTTCACATGCAATCAGCACAGGATGTCTTCCTGACAGTTTAATTAGAGTTCACTGAACCCTCCTACCTATAACTGACCTATAAGGAGCTTATGCAAGAGAATTTAAGTAGAATATGAAAGTTATTTTTAAAAAGGCTATAGGTGGTACATCGGCAAGGAATATCTTAGAATAAAATGTCTGGGGAGTATATTTTAAACATATTTCCCTTTCTTTTAACTTGGAAGTCTTTATTTTCATTTTCAAATACATTCACTCGCTAGAATATTTTATGTTTCAATTTTGTAGGTATGATGCTTATGTTGGACAAGCAAATAATAAATCTAGTGTCAGTGGAAGGAAGCACCCCACCTCTATGCCCTCATTGAGAGGGCAGTGTCTTCCTTCTTAATTTCTAAAATATATGTTCCGAGATACCTATCAAACATTGAATCTCTGAAGGTACTCTTTAAACAAACATGAGTTCTAGCATATTTGACTCTGAAGTAAATTCCTACTGAGCAGATTCTATCTGCCTAGGAATTTCCATTATAGTATAAATGTGTTTCTCCAGAAACATTTAGGATTTAGGATGTAATAAAAATCATGCTTTTAAAAAGTTTGGTTGCATTACTCTTATCATGTAAAAGCACAAATGATAAATGTGTCTTCAGAAAAGACATACTTTTCTGTGTGCTTGTTGCATACTGGAAACAAAGTATGCTTATTGGATACTGGAAGTTAAGTGATAAAGGCTGATTTTGGTTTTTGTTTATCCTTCTTATTTTTCAAATTTCAAAGTGTTGTCCAGAAGCACCTGCATCAGAATCACTTGAAGGTCAAACCCTATCTCTAGGGATAAAACCCAGAAATCTGCATGAACTCCTTAGCTGATTCTGGGGCATACTCACATTTGAAAACCACTAGCCTTGAGCATATGGAATGTATATACTATATTGTCCCTAATTTCCCACAGCCACTGTTCTTCTCTATTCTTTTTATTTCCCTATAGGAAAGATGAAAATATCCAGTATAAAGTTACTTAAGCTAAATCAATTTTGAAGAAGAAAAACTTGGAGGACTCACATTACCTGACTTCAAGACTTACTAAAAAGCTATAGTAATCAAGATAGATGGTATTGGCAGAGGAACAGACACATAAATCAATGGAACAGATGAGAGAACCCAGAAATAAACCCATATAAATATGCTCAACTGATTTTGAAAAAGTGCAAAAGCAATTCAATGGAGGAAGAATAGCCTTTCTGACAAATTATGCTGGAGCAATTAGACACCCATAGCGAGGAGAAAAAAGAACCTCTACTTAAACCTCACATCTTATATAAAATTTAACTCAAAATGTATAATGGACTTAAATGTAATACATAAAACTATATAACTTGGAAAAAAACCACGGGAGAAAAAGCTTCAGGATCTTGGGCTAGGTGACAAGTTCTTGGACTTTGCCCCAAAAGCACATCCATAAAAGACAAAAACTGATATATTGGACTTCTTAAAAATTTAAAAACTTGTGATTTAAGAAGAGGAAAAGATAAGCTACAGATTGAGATGAATTTGCAAACCATATATCTGATCAATTTGGCACATATAAAGTGTGCTAAAAACTCAACTCTAGTCAGGCATGGTAGCCCATGCTTATAATCTCACCACCTGTATAACAGAGTGAGGCCTTGTCTCACAAAAAGCCACAAAAGCTCAACAATAAAAACAAGCAGTCCAATTAGAAAATGGGCAAAAGACATGAATAGATGTTTCACTGAAGAGGATCTATAGATGGCAAGTAAGCATATGAAAAGCTGTTAAACTCCATAAGTCATGAGGGAATGCAAATTGAAACCACAGTGAGGCTATGACTTACTTATCTGAATGGCTAAAGAAACAATAGTGAAAATACCAAATACCAATGAGGATACAAACTGAATATTTTATACATTGCTAACAGGAATGTAAAATGGTACAGCCACTCTGGAAAAGAGTTTATAAATTTCTTATCAAGTTAAACATAATTTTTTAATCAAGTTAAACATAAGACCCCGCAGTTGTGCTCCTGGACATTCATTCCAGAGAAATGAAAATCTATATTGTACTTGTACCCAAACATTCATAGGAGCTTTATTTGTAATAACCCCAAACTGGAAACAACCCAGATGTCCTACAACAGGTACATGGTTAAACAAACCATCCATAACTTGCAATACTACTCTGGAATGAAAAGGAACTAACTGTTGATACGAGAACATGGTTGTACCTCAGGGGTATTATGGTGAACAAAAAAGCCAGTCTCAAATGGTCACATACTGTATGATTGCATTTATATAATATTCTTGAGGTGACAAAATTATTGAAATGAAGAACAGATTAATGGTTGCCAGGGATAGGAATTGGAGGGGTGTGGGATATGTATGACTGTGAAGAGATGACACAAGGAGTTGCTTTGTGCTGATGGAACAGTTCTGTGTGATTATGATGATTATGATGTTGATTATAGCATTTGATTATGAGGTTAAGCACATGAATCTATACCTGTGCTGAAGTTGTATGGACCTACATACACACAAATGAATGCATGTAAAATCTGGTGATACTGAATAAAGTCTGTAGTCTAGATAGCAGTATAATATCATTGTCAATATCTTGGATATGAAGTTGTGCTATAGTTACAAAACTGTACCACTGGAGGAAACTGGGTAACGGATACGTGGGACTCTGTACTATTTTTGCAACTATAAGTATATAATTATTGCAAAATGAAAAGTTGTAAGTTTTAAGTAAGAAACTGGGACATATGGTACCTATTTTATGAAGTGAGAAAAGGGTGATAGAAAATTTGAGGGGAATAAAACAATTGGAATATTTTTACAGGCCAACCTTTAGCACAAGTCCTTTTCCTTTTCTGGGTTTCATTTTCTTTAGGAATAGAATGAAATTAGAGTAGTTGACCACCAAGGTTTCTTTTAGCTCAGTGTCCAGTCTTTAAAAGTGTTGAGCATCACAAAAAACAGTGGTGTGAACAAGATGTATCATTATTTTCCCAGCTGCACCAATCTGTCTTACCTTTACACAACCCTGTATCCCCTTATGAACACTAGATTCTCTATATTCAATCACATCCAGGGGTCTCATGGTAACTGCATATACTTATTCTCTCTGTTTTCTTATCTCCTATAATTTCAGCTCATTGCCTTGTGACCTCTGCCCACAGCACTTCACTGAAACTACTCCTGCCAAAGTCACCAATGATCTCCACACAGTGAAAGTCAATAGTTGCTTCTCCCATCCTTAATGAACCTCTCAGTATTGACACAGTTGGTTACTCCTCCCTGAAATCTACTTCCTTGGCTTCTCTTATTTTCTTCTCTGGCTAGTCTTCCTGTTGTTCTTTTCTTCTCTAGCTGTTCCTTCTCAAATTCATTCATAGACTTCTCTATCTTTGCTTACCTATATGCAGTTGACATACAAATCTGTATTTGTCCACGCCTCTATCTGAACTCCAGACCTACATTTCCACCTCTCTACTGGACATTTCACTTGGTTGTGTTTTTAAATTTCTAAATTTTTTTTTTTTTTTTGAGGCAGGGTCTCACTCTGTTGCCCAGGCTAGAGTGCAGTGGCATGATCATGGCTCACTGCAGCCTCGACCTCCTGACCTCAGCCTCCCAAGTAGCTGGGACTACAGGCATGCACCACCATGCCTCACTCATTTTTTTTTTGTATTTTTTCGAAGTGACAGGGTTCCACCACATTGCCCAGGCTGGTGGCAAACTACTGGGCTCAAGCAATCCACCTGCCTCGGCCTCCCAAAGTGCTAGGATTACAGGCACGAGCCACCATGCCTGGCCTCCACTTGGCTGCCTTAATGGCACATAAAAATTAATATATCTAAATCTGAAATCATAGTTTTCAATGTAAACTATATTCCCTTCCAACATTTCTTACCTCAGTGAATAGTGAATGTAACATCTATTTGCACAAACCGGAAACCAAATAGACATTCTTAACACCTCTCTCCATTACCTTCTAAACTACTTATATTGATAGAGTTATAGCAATTTGAAATTCTTTTTCTAACCTAGTAATCTGAGTAATTTGTAGGATAAGCATGTCAGGGGAGGGGCAGGTACATGGAGGTGTCAGTGCCTGATGGCTGAGGAAGCAGGCTGGGATTACTGCGTGGAGGTATCAAAGTTTCCAGCTTTGTGGCTCCGTGGTCGGGTGGAGGGGCAGGGGGAGAGATCCAGTGGAAGCCATGTTGTGCCAGTGCCCTCAGGGTGAGGAGGCAGCCAGCAATGTGCTACATTAGGCAAATAACTAAATTGATTGAGCGAAGAAGTAAATCTGTTGAGGAAAATGGGAGCTAGGTTTCTCAGTGTCAGAGAAATTATTTGAAAATATGGAAAGGCCAGGCGCAGTGAATCATGCCTGTAATCCCAGCACTTTGGGAGGCCGAGACAGGTGGATTGCGAGGTCGGGAGATCGAGACCATCCTGGCTAACACAGTGAAACCCTGTCTCTACTAAAAATACAAAAAAAAAAAAAAAAAA